ATCTGTCGAGAGAAATCATATATATTTAGTTATGTACTCACGAATGAATAATTTGATTGTTAAAATGAACAAAAATAGGGCATAATAATCAATGTATTTAAAAAAAAGTCTTAGTAATCTAATTTTGTTTTGATTATAATGAATCTAATGGCATTATCATTGTCAATATGTGGCAATTACAATATAAGGAGCATTAGATATTTTTATATTAGATATTAGATATTTTTCTCATCTGTTATTTTGAAATTAATGCCAGTGATATAATTAGAAAGCATGCCTATTTTTACTGGTAAAACACAGAACATTAGGCACAAATAGATGAGTCATCTTTCTACTTGACTTTTCCCTGTTCTGGGCCTATTATTCCAGCTCCTAGTTTGTTTTGTGTATCCACTTGCTTGCTGTTGGTTAGCCCGCTGCTTGCAGTGTTCTGCACTGAGTTACATGGAAAGGAACATTGCCCATCAATGTTCCCATTACATTCCAGATAAAAAAAAAACAATCTGTGGAGATGAATGCTAACAATTACAATGTAGTTCCTGTTTTATTATTTATTCATTCCCAAATTATTTTCCACTAGACACATTAGCATTTTTGAATGTCAAAAATCTATGTACTAGAAAGGCAAGTCTTTTAAGAGAAGGAAAGATAGATTAATTTTTCACAATGAACATTTAAATTATAAAGAAGGGAATTCTCTAAATATTGAGTTAGGATGGATCTGAAGAGTTTTTATTTCAGAGTTGAAAGGAACCTTTCCCCCTGACAGATGATGCTGTGACCAGGGGCAGCTAAGGCTCAATTTAGCCTCAAAAGGAAGAGTGGAATGATCGGCAGGCATACTGAAATAGGCGTCAAGCATATTTGACACACATGTACCACTGATGTCATAGAATTGAAACTTATAAGCAAAAGCAAAAAAAAAGAAAAGAAAAAGAAACACCTCATTCCAATAGCAGTTATTCTGAATCGTAGAGACACCATGCTACAGAGTAGAACTGTGCCCCATAGGTTCACATGGCCCTCAGCTTCATAGACTCCTATTGGAAGGTTTTTCCTCTGGTGACTCTGGGTGGTGGAACCACCAATCTTTCATGTAGGATTTGAGTGTAAAGCATGTGTAATACCCAGGGGTCTATGAACATAAATGAATATCCAACACATTATCGATTTTCTGTGAAATGAAAGGAAAGTAGTTTATTTCAGATGTGACAAATAATTCTATATTAATACACAATATATAATAAAACCTATATAAATTCTAACAAATGAATGTATCTTTCCGCAGTTTTCCTAATAACTGCCAATATACAAATTATTCACCTGCTACTTAAGTATAAAAGTGCATCTTAGAAAATCAAGATCATTAAAAAGGGCGTAAACATATTTTTTAATAAATTGATCTGGGATTTTAAAAGCTACAATTGTGATATGTTGACTTTAAATTTTCAAATACATGTTTAAATAAATATGTGATGTGTTCAAAATGTTCAGGATGTCTCCTTTTTTTAAGAACTCACTTTGTTTCAGAGTGCCCTCTGATGAGATAACCAACAAAAGGATTTAGATGGTAAAAGATACATTAATCTTCATATATGAACCATCATCAGTTAATCAGCATGATCTTTTCTGGAATCTCAAACAGCATAATTTTTAATTACACAGTCAGCTCATAACACGGAAATAAATATCTTTGAGAGTTTAAAAATAATTCTCATACAGAAAAGTAAAATTAGTCAGCAAGGATGACGCGGTCTGAACGTCACTCCTCATCTGGGAAGCCCCGGAGCAGATGAAGAGCATTCCTGTCGGCAGCGGTGTCTTCTTCTCCACCAATGGCATTGAGAAGCTAATAGTGTGATATTTGGATTCAACTTTCTGATGGGCGATAGACCACTCTAGATTTCTATGATAGATTTAGATTTCCTTCTCCTAAAATTCACTTAAAATACCCCCGTGTTGCAGCAGGTATTTTCCACTTATTGCCAGCATATTAGTTGAGTGTTCACAAGGAGAAAGAGAAATAGGCTTAGAAAGTCTTAGAATTGTCTTCCTTTGTGTATCTCTACCTTATCGTGTTCCTTATTCATAAGTACTTACCGGTACAAAGAAATGGCTAAGATCACCATAAGCTTTACTTTATTTTAACTTTCTTAGAGAGCCTCCCAACTACCTGCGAAGTTGCCCGGAATGAGTTTTTAGTCATTAACTGAGCTAAGATGAAGTGCACTTAATTTAAATGGCTAGGGGAAAAACACATGGGAATGAAATAGAGTTGACAATGACAAAGAGGAAAACAGCCAATCCTGTCCTTTATCTCGGTATTCAGACGAAGAGCCTTTCCTCATTCTTGCGGACCATCATGAGATACGGAAAATCAGCACCGACGGCTCCAACTACACACTTTTAAAACAGGTATGGCATGTGCATGCTTCCCTGACATTTAGTATGCGCTAGAGTTATAGAAATAGCTTACTATAAGAAGCTATCAATCCCCTCTAGTGGATGTTTGTCTACATTCATATGATTATCATAAAGGCTGTTTTGTTTAAACTATCCAAAGGATACTTCCAAATTGCCTGATTTAGGAAAGAAAATAATGGCAAAGGAAAATTGCTGCCCCCCAAAGAAAAATATTTTTTATCTCTAGAATAACTATATATATATTTTAAATGTACAATTTTCTTATGAGCTACTTTTTGCAGCAGATTGTCCACATTTTTCTACCTCCCCCTGCCATTTTAGGATAAATATGCACCCTATATGTGCTAGTATAAGTTGACCCATATATAATTGAGTATAAGCTGAGGCACCTAATTTTGCCAGAAAAACTGCATTAAAAATGTGCTGCAAAGCTCTGCCTATACACAAGTATTTATGGTATATATAATCTGTTTAGAATTTCAAGTCTCTGCTCACAGAACCAATAAATAAAATGGGATCGATAATATACAGCCTTTATAATTTAGAATTAGCAAAGGAACAAAAACGAAATATGATTGTAAATGAATCATGGATAAAAGGCTGAGACACAAGTTTTCAATCTTAACCTCTTGACTTCTCAACCCTACTTTACTTCAAGGCAAATCTGGGCTTTATTTGTTCTAGATTTTAAATCCTATTAGTTTATTTATATAAATTATTTGCAATGAATAGGTGTGACTGCCATTTTAGAATGCATTGACTGTGTGTATGCATTAGATAGAAAAACGAATCATTAAAGTTAGAATGACTACTATCTGTCGAGAGAAATCATATATATTTAGTTATGTACTATTCTTAGTTGTCGAGAGACTTTGCTTTCTTAAAAAAGATATATTTTGCGTTTAATCCGCTAAAAATTCCCTGCACCCCAATTGTAGAAAGTTGTTCTTAAACACCACAGTGTCAGTTCCTGCTCACAGGAAGTCTTTGTGTAACAGAGGGAACATTGCCCAGTCGAGTCCCAGCTTCATGGTTGTTAAGTTTTGAACACATTTTCTCATCACTGTGTCACCCTCTGCTTCACCAAGCATATTTTTATCCCGGGACTCTGCTGCAAATAGCATGTTTGCAGTACATGATACAAAGTCTCACCATCCTCACTTACAAGGAGAATTCTGGCTGTACTTTCTCCGAGAAAAATGTGTTCTTTTGATAGTCCATGAGACTTTAAATCTTCTTTATCAACAGCATATTTCAAAGGCATCAGTCCTTTGGCCTCCCTCATCCACTGTCTGCTTCCACATGGGAATGAGGTGATTGACATGCCGTGATTGAGTTGAAAGACCCTGAGTGCTCAAAGTGACAGCTTTGCTCCTGAACACTTTAAAGAGGTCTTCGGCAACAGATTTGCCCAATCCAATTAAAAACGAACAAGGGAATAGAGAAAAGCTCGCTGCCATTGAGTCAATTCTGACTTATGGGACGGAATTGAACTACCTCCCTTGGTTTCTGATTCGGTAAATCTCTACAGGAGCCGAAGGTCTCATCCTGTTCCCTCCGAAGAGCTGGTGGTCTGCTATGCTTTTGGTTAACAGCCCTGTGCCGACACCACTAGGCCACCAGCACTCCTTAGGTGACAGCAGGTGGGAGAGATCTACTAGAACAAATGTGTTCAACGTAAGCTATTTCTGCTCTGGTCTGGTCAATACCAGCTGGAGGTATAGTTGAAGAAGGCTATTTGTGTGGTGTGTCTTTATGGATGTCAGAAATATGAGCTTAACTAAAATTATTTTTGCCACCTACTGAAGGATTCTTCCACTGCTGTTGTTAAAATTCCATTCGTTTTTTATTAAGTACTTAGTCTTATTTCAAGTGAAAATACGCATTATCAGATATGATTATTTACTCTTTCTCACAGTGGTGACCTTTCAATCCATTTCTTCGGCAATACACTGAAAAAGGAGATTTTACATGATTTCTGGCTACTTATGAAAAAACAAGGTGTCCAATGCTGAGCCCACATTTACAAATGCCCATCATTTGAGTTGTTTAGCCACTGCCCCTGTGACATAGCCAGTGCACACGTCAGTCCCATCTTCAGCTCTCCCACATGCTTATTACGTGTACAGACTCCTTGAGGCCGAGCAGAATAGTTAAGCTTTTGGTTGTACTGAAAGGTGTGTGCTTTGAATTCACCCAGTAACTACATGAGTGCAAAACTGGAGATCTACTGCAATAAAAGACTACATCATATAAAGTGTTTAAGGAATAATTTGGCCCTGTCATATGGGGTCATTATGAGTCCAAATAGACTCAACAATACCTCATAGCACCCGTATGCATATGTCCCGTGCTCATGTCTGTCTATCAGGGTGACTCTTGATCTTCCATTTGGAGCGAGCTTCCAAGGTCCACTCTATCATACTGCCTCTCTCTCTCTCTCTCTCTCTCTCATCTATCTATCATCTATCTATTCTATCTCTCTATCATCTATCTATCTCTCTATCATCTATCTATTCTATCTACCTATCTACCTATCGATCTATTCTATCTATCTATCTATCTATCTATCTATCTATCTATCTATCTATCTATCTATCTATATCTTTATGATAGGATACAAAACAAGATGCTTTCCTGATGTTCATAAAAATTAGACAGATTATTTAAAATATTTACAAGACTTAGATAATTATCTCTCCAAGAGATAAAAGAGAAATATCCTTAGGAAAAATTAAGTTTACATAACTATGATACTTGTAAATGGAAAAGGTTTTGGTGTCCACATTGTTTTCTTCACATTGTTTTCTTCATAGTTTAACTTAATTCAATTATTTTACCTAAATCGTTTTAAGTTCATATCAAATTTATTAAATACTGAAGACTACATAGTTTTCTTTGGATATTTTTCCTGTCTTCTGAATAATCATCTTTATATCTTTAAATTTAGGTGCACCAACCATCAATTACTTTGTTTCTTTTTAGAAGAAAGACATGTCTATTTTCGCCTTTTCAATTCTTTAGAATTCTTACCTTTTCGGACTGTGCTTTCTCAATTAATGGGGAAAATGTTCTCCCTTCAGAATGCGTTGTGTACACCCAAGTGAAATCTTTAGGTAACAGTGCTCACACTTTTCTGGAAAGAACTATAAGTGTTCTTCAGTGAAAGTTTCTTGCTTTAACCCAATAAAGTTTCTTGCTTCATTTTCCAATGACTTTTACTATTTTGTTTTTGTTGTCTTTCATTGCTAACATGTTGTCATAGGCTACTTTTCATGAGGAAACATATTGTTCTCTAAGAACTTAATAACTTGTATTTATTTTATCTGATTAAATCATTTAATACACATTTTAGTGTACCATTTGGGAAGGTATTGTTGTAAATTACTTTAGCCACGTGGGAATGCGTTTTAGATACTTTTCTAAGTGATGTGTTTCCGGAAGAAAGCAGGGAGCAGGAAAGACAAGGAATCTCAAGAGAATCCTTACCATCTGTGTCTTTGGAAAGCATTTGATGATAGTGACTATTGAGTAAGAAAATAGAGACTCTAAGAAATTAATGACAAGACTGTGGCTCTTTTTTGCCTGAGAGTTGCAGTAAATATATGATTTCTGACAAGTGAAATATTTTAAGTTATAATTTTATCAGAGCAGTATAGAAGCTCTGATAATTGACATTTTTTTTTACCCTCACAGAGGTTCTGTCTACATATGCAGAATAATCAGAAAAGGGAAGTAATTGTCTCTCCTCATTTTCTGTAATCCAAAAATAAATTAAAAGACAACATCCTTGTTTTAAATATTTGAAAATGTTATGTGTGTAGTTAATTAGTAAGGATGGTTTAACCAAAATACCTTGGATTTTACTCTCATTATTGATATAATCAATACCGAGTACATGCACAAAGTTATAAAAAATCATAAGTGTTTATTTTTTTGTCCCACTATATTTCCTAAAATACACTGACATTTCAGCCAGTTAACTTAATTTGACATACCACATTTAGAAATAAAATAGATTTTAGGAATGAAAATTAATCAAGTAACTCTTCAATGTTATGTAATTCAATTCTAACAGTGCCTTTTATTCCAATAAAATTGTTCGGAGGAACAAGATACAATTTCCTGAATTAACCATCTTGAGCTACAGACATGAAAGGAACATACAGGATTCCAGCACTGAAACCATTAGAATGACTAGCTTTCAGACATGGTTTTGCCCATGTTCCTGGTGACTTTAATGTTTCTTGCATGTTTCAGCAAACAGAAAATGGCACTGTTTTCTATGGGGATTAAAAGTAACCATGTAGGAAAATGTTTGGCTTGGTTTGCTAGATATCTGAGAATTCAAAGCCTAAATTCTCATACCTCTAACGATTTAACATATGATAGTGGACTGGATAAATTTGGCATTGAAGTTTTGTTATTTTAGTTTGGTATGAGTTGGAATTGACTCAGGGCCAGCGATTGACTTTATTTTCATTGATACTTGTAAAGAATCGAATAGAGCAATTCTGCCCTAACTGTATACGTGGGGAATGCCTCTGCCAGAGTTAAAGATCAGCTTGCTCTCTCCCGACTATTGAAATGAATTATTTTGTCTAACTCTGATTAGTTTTGAATAGACAACTTCCCTAATAAAGAAGGTTAATCTTAAAACAGTTGGAATTTTGACTCGCTTTGTTTGTCTGGTGAAGCAGTAAATACAGGAGCCATAACAATAGATCAGAATTAAACTAACCCTAGACAGTCATTTAAAGCAATTCAGCAGCTAAGAAGATGCCCAGATCCTGGATATATGATTCTCAAAACAGAGGACTCACATGACAGTACTGCCAAAGAGAGACTATAACGTCAAGAAACGCACCATCCGAATCTGTGCGTTGTTTGATTAGCTGTAAACAATGCGAAGCCAGGAGTCTGAAGGGAGAGACTTTCTTGCATTTTCACCATGTGGCATAAAAATATTTTGATTACCCAGTTTCTCCTGGGGCATGCACTCACATAAGGGCAGAACTTTTAAACTCTAATCTAACATTGTATTGCCTAAGGGGACATTTGAATCTGACCCAGAAAGAAGCAAACAAAAAGCCTCATCACATTGTAGTTAGGACGAAACTCGGGGAAAGTAGAATTTTAATCCCAAACTCATCATAAATCGTCAGAGATTTTTACAGATCTCCCACTATATGTATGCTCCTTGTTTTACCACAGGATGGATTAAAATGGCCTCAAATCAAAATTTAATATTAGCCTAAACTGAAATCTTTCACTTGCTCGCTTTAAGAACAGCTCCCTCCGCACACTTTGCATTACTGTTTATTTATATCACTATCTGTAAATAGCCTACTTGGAAAATATATCTTCTTGGAAAATATATCTTCAAATACACTTGGTAACAACTTCAATTTATGGCACGGAAAATATAAAAACACTATACTCTTGTAAAGAATTGGTCACAAATGTTTTTATTTAGTTTATAAATGAAATATATCTGTTTAGTTTAAAAGGGAGAGATGGTGATGTGTATAAACAAGTTCTACATTAAAGAATATGCTCTATTAACTATTATTCAATATATAATTATATTTTCATTATTTTAAAATTTAATTTTCTTTTAGGGATTAAACAATGTTATTGCTATAGACTTTGATTACAGAGAAGAATTCATCTACTGGATTGATTCTAGCCGGCCCAATGGCAGCCGCATAAATAGAATGTGTTTAAATGGAAGTGACATGAAGGTAATTAGATATTGTAATGATTGAATCTTTAACATTATATTATTATAGTTGAATTTAATAGAAAATTTTATGTGATGGTTAATAACACCACTTGTGGAATGTGTTAGATTGGTTTAAATTTCATATTCTTACAGTATAAGTTAATAAGTACTTTAAAGTTAAATATGAGGCTCTTTTTTCTTATGTTCCACCATAAGACTACTAGTTGCAATGAGATAAAATCAAATTTATTCATTATTGGATTAGGACCTCATCACAGCCCTCCCAAATGAATCATTTTGGATTTTAATTACTAATATCTGATATTCAATTGTGTTGATTTAACTAAAAACAGCTGAATCTGAGAATGTATCATTGAAAAATAATTAAATGTTAAAGTCTAGATTGAAATTATACTATTAGAAATATTTACTTTAGATGAATAAAATTGAATGTATTTGAATGTCTTGATTAGATAGCATTATAATTATGTACTTATTACAATTCTAGATCTAAACTTGAATTTCAAAGTAAAATTATTGCACTGTAATAAGAGGCATCAAAAAGTTAATGAAAATGGAATTAAAATAGTGTATATAGTGTGTATATATATATTGAAATACATTTTAAAGCAATTAAAATGCAAGTAGATGAAACCTATTAATTACTTTATACACTTTTTTATAGGTACCTAAAACAGCATAGAGCAAATTTTAGTAGAAGAAATAAATTTTGAAAATTTGAATGAAACTGTGAAATGTGTACATATAAAATCCATAATAAGCAGTTTAAGTCTGATGATTCAGGACAGGGAAAACTGTATTTAATAAAATTTTATATGTTAAGATATTACAGTGTACATAACAAAAGTGCTGGTGATTTCTTAAATTTAACTGAATTATCTGACAATTTCTATAAAAATTCCTAAAGTTACATTACTTAAATCTTGTCATAGATTTTTTAACATATTTAAAATTGTATCTTTACATTTTATAAAAGTACTTTAAGACATTAAACTAACTACTCTCTTGTAAAATTATTTACCATTATTACTTTAAATTGTGCCATCACATAAGATCACAAAGTGCTTTGTTCTTCCATTGGGATTAGAAATTTTCTGAATTTTTTTTTTTCATTAGTTAGTCACATCAAATGTGCCAAATTTGGAATTCGAGGTGAATGAAGCAGAATAATATATGTATAGTGGATTGCATGTATAATCGCATGATATCATTGCTTTAAATGGCTCATATTACTACTTTGTGTCTATTATAGATGTATTCTTATATTATTATTTTGAATTATTGCTCAGGGAAAGAAATAGCGATATCATGTTTTTAATGTTTCCTTGACTGTGCCTATATTCCTCCAAATTTCAATTGCTTTTTTCACAGTGCTAAACACACTGGAGAAGTCTGAGAAAATAATCGTACAAAGCAAGGATTTTTTGTCATTTTATATGTATCATATTTATATATCAAAAGCCTGTAATCTTATTAGGAGCCCTAGTGCTATAGTCGATTGAGCACTGGGATTCAAGCAACAGGTTGGTGGTCTGAACTCCCAGCTGCTCGGCCAGGAAAAGATGAGACACTCAGCGTTCAATAACTCACAGCCCCAGAAACCTATGGGCTCTTCTAGCCTCTGTCCTCCAGGCTTGCTAATCGTCAGAATTGACTCTGCAACAGTGCGTTGCAGTCTTATTCAATTTAATGTTGGCATAGGCTAGATAGGAAC